CCGTGGGTTCCCTTCACGCAGCGCTGGGTGCCGCGGGTGGCTGCCCCCGCTGGGAGGGAGATGCTGACCAGGAGCCTTCGCACCCCAACCCGCAGCCCCCTTCCCTTCCTGCCCCCCCAGCGCTGCCTGCAGGCGTGGGGCCCCGTCAGCGCTGCTTCCACGTTGGACCCGGACTAAATAATTTTTAATTAATTTCCAGCATGCTGATACCACAAAACATACAGCCTGGGAGTCCTCCTGTCTCCTCAGTGTGTAAAATATGCTCTTCTGCTAGAACATCAAATCACTGTAAATCCTTCTGGTCCTCCTCATCACCCCCGCTGAGCCCCGCTGAGCCCCGCAGACCAGGGGACGAGGAGGGGCTATGCAGCACCCCCTGCTCGCTGCACTGCCAGTCCAGGGCAGAGCCCGTTGACGGTCCCCACCCCACGCCACGGACGGGCACAAGGCTGGAGAAGGTGGTACGTGCAGCACGGTGAGATGGTCCCGGGTCTCCCCCCATCCATCCTCATCCAGAAAACTCCCCCCAAAAAGGGCAGGTCCCCCAGAAGGGGCAGTAGGTGCAAACAAACCCCCTCTCTACTTTCTGTTACCTGTCTGCGCAGGGGGATGCTCTTGGCCAGCTTGTGCACGGCCAGCTGGCTGTTGAAGTCTGTCTTCTTGGTGGTGCTCTTCATCTTGTAGATGATGACGGTCACCACCATGCAGGAGATGAGGAACGCCCCAGTGCAGTAAATGATGATCTCCAGGTAGAGGGGGGATGTCATCATGGCTGGGGTGTCTTCAATAGCTGGGTCGGTGTGAACAGGGTGTTAGCACCCGCGAGCCTGCCCGGGGCAAAGGAGCAGAGCGGTGCTGGGGGGAGCCCCCCCGGCTCCTCCCCGTGCCCGATAGGGACACGCTCTGCATCGCCAGAGGCCTCGGTGCAGTGTGCGGCAGGGACTAGGGGGGCTGCCCACCCAATCCGGCGGGGAAGGCCTGTGCGCACCCCCAGGCTCCTCACCCCTGCAGCTGGGCAATGCCTCTGCCGCATCCGCAGGCACGCGCCTGGGGCAGGATGGGGCCCTGGGCTGGGAAGGGGTCAACTGAGAAAGGTGTGAAGTGGGGGGGACAGTGCCCGTGTCCCCTTGGCCAGGGCCGTGCGGGACAGCAGCGCCGGCTGCGCCGAGGCAGCGGAGCTCCACGGTCAGGGCTGTGCTGGGGATGCTCTCCTCCATCGCCCCGCAGGGACGGGGCATCGCGGGCACCCCTGGGGACGGGCCCCCTTCCCAGCTGCTGTGCCCTGCCCACACTCGGAGCTGCAAGTCCCTCGGGGTCCGGGGGTGACTCTGAGCACGGTGGGACGGAGGGGGCCGTCCAGCAGTGCCCGGGGCTGTGGGAGTCCAGGCGTTACTGATAATGACTGGGGAGAGCTCGGGGCAGAGCAGCCAGAAGCACCTCCATCGGCAGCGATCTGCCGAGGGACCCCCAGGCTGGTGGGGAGGAAGGTCCCATCCCCGCCACGCCCCGGGGCAGACCCCGCCTTTGGT